GAGGTGGTATCTCAGTGTGGTTTTGATTTGTATTTCCCTGATGAGGAGGGATGCTGAGCAGCGTTTCATGTGTCTGTTGGCCATCTGGATGTCCTCTTTGGAGAAGTGTCTGTTCACATCTTCTGCCCATTTCTTCACTGGGTTGTTTGTTTTTCGGGTGTGGAATTTGGTGAGTTCCTTATAGATTTTGGATATTAACCCTTTATCTGATAGGTCATTTGCAACTATCTTTTCCCATTCCGTTGGTTGCCTATTAGTTTTATGGATTGTTTCCTTTGCAGTACAGAAGCTTTTAATCTTGATGAGGTCCCAACAGTTTATTTTTGCTCTTGATTCTTTTGCTTTTGGAATGCTTCAAGTAAGAAATTGCTGCGGTGGAGGTCAAGGAGGTTGTTTCCTGCTTTCTCTAGGGTTTTGATGGTTTCCTGTCTCATGTTCAGGTCCTTTATCCATTTTGAGTTTATTTTTGTGTATGGTGTGAGAAAATGATCTAGTTTCAATCTTCTGCATGTTGCTGTCGAGTTCTCCCAGCACCCTCTGTTAAAGAGGCTGTCTTTTTTCCATTGGATACTCTTTCCTGCTTTGTCAAAGATTAGTTGGCTGTACACTTTGGGTCCACTTCTGAGTTCTCTAATTGAGGTGACTTTAGATTCCTTTGCAGCTGTAAAGGGATGTAGAAATACTGAAACATATCTAAATAAATTTATAAAATTTCCAAAAACCTTTGTGTTTGAATAGAAAGCAACTCAGTGGCTGTAACAGATCTTAGAGAACAGCAGCTATTAGTCCCTTCAGGGAGTAATAATATATAGAATGTTGTGTACTTTCAGATTACTGTGGACATACTTGTAATGGTCCAGACTGAATTGTCACCAAATCCTCTAATAATAGTTTGTGGCAAGTGAAATTCAGATATTCTTAACCACCAGTATTAAAGTCTCGAATTGATGGCCTCACATCTTCTCTAAAATTAAAAATAGTGTCATCCTAGTATCAATGTAGTGTTTACAATCAACACTTTTCTCATTTATTGAAGTGACATCTAATGAATACATTAACTATCATAAATATTAATTCAGCTGTGATATAAAAAAATATTTTTAAGCATCAAGCATGCATTGACCTTTAAAATGCTTTATAAATTGATTAGACCAATAGAATGCTAACAGCCATATTTTGGCATTCTTTGGTATTTTTCCATAGATAATATGTATTCTCAATATTTTTTTGTTACACTTTGTTTTAGTGATCGTGGTGGAGAAGACCCAAACCAGAAAGTAATCCATGGGGTTATTAACTCCTTTGTTCATGTTGAACAGTATAAGAAAAAATTCCCCTTAAAGGTAAAAAGCCTCCTTTAAAAACAGAATCAGACCTTTAATTTCTTAAATTACTTATTCTAATTTTTTAATTATAATCTTAATTGATTTATTTAGTTTTATCAGGAAATCTTTGAGTCTCCCTTTCTGACTGAAACAGGAGAATATTACAAACAAGAAGCTTCAAATTTATTACAAGAATCAAACTGCTCACAGTATATGGAAAAGGTAAGAAAGAACATATTATGTTAAATGCATCATCTCTTATATGTCAGGCATAGTTTTATTTAACATTTGTTTTCTTAGTTAAGAAAGTGGAGAAAGCTTTTATTTGTTTGATCATTACTTTAGGTCGGAGTTAATGTGCAATATCTTGATAAATCATTGTTCTTGCTCTGACATTTTCCATGAGAAAAAGTGCTATACAATTTTCATCATGGTTGATGCTTTTTGATAAATCCTGATTCCTTGATTTGCTTGCCTTTTAAATTAATATTCACATTCTTGGCTGAGGAATAAACAATATTTGTGCTTAGTAGATATATTTAAGGAGTGGGATAAGCATAAAAGCAAGGTATTTGAGTTTTTATCTTTTCTTCTTTAATATGGAAGTGAAAATAAGGAAAAATATAATAATTCTAGATATTTGGATAGGTTACTATTTTGGTCTGTTCAGCTTTTGAAAGACAGAAAAAGCTCCACAAGAAAATTTAATCAATCCTTAAACCAACATATATTGATTACTATATTTAAAACTGTATGTGTATTTTCTTAGTAAAGGAATAGTCATGTTATAAGGTCAGTCATCATATAAGATGTATTACATTTTTAGCCAGGTTTTTTTCATTTGGTATATTGAATTTCAAGCATTTTATTATAGGATGATATCTGTTAGTTTGGTTAGCCAAGAAAAATAACGTAAGTAGAATAACTATACATCCATTGATCACAGGTCAAGAAATATCAGTACTTACTCACACATTGTTAATATATTCCACAAAGCCCAGATCTAGAAGTCTGAGTTATTTTATTCTCTTCCTGCTGTTGTCACTAGCTCTGGTACCTTGAGTAAGCCTCTAGGACATTTTTCTTCTTCTATTAAGAGGTTACATTAAGTCAGTGGTTCTTAGCTTCAAGCTCCTTTTGCATCTTAGACTCTCGTTAAAGGTTCTAGGTCCAGTCCTGAAAAGTATACACAGAATATCGTATAATACATATACTCCTTGTTACATTTGACTCACAAAGGTGCCCTTGGCAAAAAATACTGTATTTTCATTTATGTAGAACCATACAATGTCTAGAATAGGGAATATCTAGAATAGATAAATTAATGGAGACAGAAAGTTGATTAGATGTTTTGGGGAGGAGGAGAGAATAGGGAGTTACTCTTTAAAACTTAAAGAGTTTTTGTTTAGTGTGGTGAAAAAGTTTTAGAAGTAGACAGTTGTACAACATTGTGAATGTAATGAATGCCACTGAACACAGTCAAAAAGTGGTTAAAATGACATTTTATGTTATATATATTTACCACAATTTTGAAAACACTAATAATGTAATATACCCCAAACCATTGAATTATATTTTAAATGGTAAATCATACAGTAAGTAGATTATATCTCAACCTGTAAAAAAGAGGGCCTTTGGAAATTATGTTTGGGAAATAGCATGTGTAAGAGTAGTTCATTTAATGTAGCCTTCCTACTTCTCTTTCTGTATTTTACCTGGAATTTTGGCCTTTTTTCCCAGATATAAGTGATTTTATAGCTATTTGAAGCGTTGCACTAAGATACTCCACTCTTGTCTACCTTCCTCTTGTTATGTACCCCTCCCCCGATTATCATTAATTTTTTTTTCCTTTACTCATCCTTTCTCACTTCCAGACTCTAATTCGTGTTGCATTTAGTTAACCCATAAACATTAAAGTCACTTAGAGTGTACTATACTGATTAATAGGCATAATCCTTTTAAGGGATATTTTTGTTTTAAAAGAAAAACTTATTGACCACAATGACTGTCTTAGTTGATTAAGTATGTGCTATAAACATCTTATCATCTTATAGGCCTTTTTTTTTTGAGAGCATTCACAAGTATACACATTAATGAAGGGAGAGGGGCAGAGGAAGAGAGAATCTTAAGCAGGCTCTATACTGGGCACAGAGCCTGGAGCCCTGCCTGGGGCTTGATCTCACAAGCATTGAGATCATCACTTGAGCTGAAATCAAGAGTTGAAGCTTAACCAACAGAGCCACCCAGGTGCTCCCATCATCTTTTAGTATGGATACTTTTGGGGCTACTTTTCGTTTCTGTGTTTGCCCTGGACTCCACAGGGCAGCAAAGATGGGACCATGAATTTCTCTTCCATCTTTGCCTCATTTTCATCAAACAGTATCTGAGAGGTAACCAGGAATGTTATTTTCCCTCTCAGCATCACCTTCCCTCCCAGTATTAGCTTCTTTTTTTTTTTTTTTTTTTTTTTAAGTTTTATTTATTTACTTTAAGAGAGAGGGAGAGAGTGTGAGCTGGGGAGGGACAGAGAGAGGAGGAGAAAGAGTATCTCAAGCAGGCTCCAGTGCTGTCAGCGTGGAGCCTGTTGTGGGGCTCATTCTTACAAACCATGAGATCATGACCTGAGCTGAAACCAAGACTTGGATGCTTAATCAGCTGAGCCACCCAGGCACCCCATGCCCCCAGCATTATCTTATGCCCAGGCAAATCAGTAGTACTCCCTAAAGGCTTAACTATACATAGTTCTCTGGGACCTGTTAAAGTTCAGAAACTCTAGTTATATAGCTTTGCATTGCAGAGTATTTTTAAAGTCTAAACTATGCTAGCATGATTTTTATTGCAAATGTAGTTTTGTTTTGAGGTAGAAATTAGCCAAATTCTCTAGCTATTATCTCTATCAGCTGGTTCTTATTAGTATTAATCAGTGTATTGTTTGTAGCTCAGTGTTTCTTATATAGGATAAGCTTTACTAAAGGTCTTGATTGATACATTTAACTATAAGATATAGTTAAATATCGTTAAAATATATATAAGACTAAATATGTTTGACTTCCAAAAATTTTAATGAAATCTTTAATGTGATAGTTAATTATAATGTAATACTGTTTACATTTACATTTTATAAGAAGAGACCAATGTAAAATATTTAGATTAATCTACTTGATCTAGTTGACATAAATTATTTTTTAGGTTTATAGTTAAATATTCATAAAGTGACCACCTATTCTGGTTTTTAATAATTTTTACCCACTTTTCCTGTTGCATATTAGGTCACCTTTAAAATGAAGACAAAATGTAGACCACTTAACTTTAGTTCTTACTCATAAGATTTTGGTGAAATGTAGGTGATAGCTTGTAGCCTAAATAAAAATTTGAAATGATTTATGGAATGTGGGCTTATACAGGGTACATAATCCTTATTTGTTACCTGGCCATATTTAATTGAGCCATTAAATTGAGGCTACCTAAGTTACTTACTGATATTATAGGTTTTTCCTCATAGTAGGTCATGACTGTAAGAATATATTTCTAAAGGTTCTAGGTAGATTAAAAGATGAAGAAATTCGATGTCGAAAATACTTGCATCCAAGTTCATATACTAAAGTGATTCATGAATGTCAGCAACGAATGGTAGCAGACCACTTACAGTTCTTACATGCAGAATGTCATAATATCATCCGACAAGAGAAAAAAAATGGTAAGTGACATAAAACAGTAACTTATGAATAGATACTAAATTATAAACCCACTTTTTACATCATCTTCAAACTTAGATTTCAAACATTTTTAGTAATAGTCTCTGAGATATTTGATATGTCTTTTTACAGATTCTTAATAATTTACTTTAAAAGACTGTTTTGGAAAAGTGTATGTTCAAAGTGAATTCCAAAGTCAAAAGAAAAACTAGGAAAATGTGTTTGCACATTTTTATGTACCAAAAGGGCTAATTTCCTTAATACATAAGAGTTTCTAATAAACAGGAAACAAAAGCAAAGAAGATGAAGAGGAAATGTGAATAGCTTTTAAATACATGGAGATGTACAATCTCACTTAAAATAGAAGAAAATACAAAATAAAGATTCAATGAGATGCTGGTAATAAGCAGTAAAAACTGGGATTTTTTTTTTTTAAAAAAGAGAAAATAGCATGAAAAACTTTCACTAGCAGGAAATAAATATAACAATACTTACACAAAAACTAAACATTGTTTTAGTTTTGTTTTTTGTTAGGTGTTTTTTTTTTTTTTTGTTTTTTGTTTTTTTGAGAAAGAGAAATGAGTGAGGAAAGGGGTATAGAGAGAGGGAAACACAGAACCCTAAGCAGGCTCCAGGTTCTGAGCTGTCAGCACAGAGCCTACCGTGGGGCTGGAACCCACTAACTGTAAGGTTCAAGAACCTGAGCTGAAGTTGGACGCTTAACCAAGTGAGCCGTCCAGGCGCCCCAAAACACTAAACATTGTTGAAAGCAACATTGATTTATAGATCCAGGAGAATCTACTCAAAACTGAAGGGGTTTGGTTTTTGTTTGTTTGTTTTAATTCTGAAAGTTAAACTCTTGGACTAAGAAAAGCCAAAATAGTCCTGAAGACCATAATGGGAAGACTGCAGGATAGCATGACTTGCAATAAAACTACAGTAATTAAGACATCAAGGATTCTGTAAGGGTAGACAGACCAACGGAATAAAATAGCATAGAAATAGCCCATGCATATGTACAGTAGATACTTGATTTATGACCAAAATGACACTGTAAAGCAGTGGGTGAAAGATACAGTCTTTTTAACACCTAGTGCTGAGTCTGTTGGATATTCACTTGGGGAAAAAAGTAAAATTTGATCTGTACCTCAGACACCATGTCCAGAATCAATCAATACATTTTAGGCTTTTGACCTAAATGTAAAAAAGTAACACTGTGAGAAGATAATGTAGGAGAATAACTTCATGACCTTGAGGGAGGGAAAGATATTAAATAAGACAAAAAAAGCACTAACCACAAAGGAAAGATTGATTCAGTGGACTGCATTAAAATTAAAAACTGGATTATTAAGAGACCATTAAAAGCATCAAAAGATAATCATAGAGTAATATATTTGCAATGACTGAAAAAGTTTATGTCTAAAATATAAAATGGTCAAGAAATTTGAACAGGTACTACAGAATAGAGGGTATCCATGTGGCCAGTAAACATACACAAAGGCCCTCAATTTTATTAAAATAGGGGAATACAAATTAAAAACCACACTGACATTAATACTCATATTTATATATAAAATTTAAAAGACTGAATCTAGTAAGTGTTAGGAAGTGGGTGGAGTAGTGAGAGTGTGTTATATACTAGGCTCAGAGTTTAAATTGATGCAATTACTTTGAGACACTGACATTGATTCTTAAAGCTGAATATATGCCTATCTTCTGATCCAGCCATTCCTCTTCTAGATATATAATCCCCTGCCCAAACTGTGTGCAAATATGTACAAAAAGATACAAGAATGTTCACTGCAGTGTTAATTGTATTAGCCCCAAACCATAAACAACTCAAATGTCCAATAACAGAACAGATGAAGAACAGTATATTCATACAGTGGAATATTATAGAGTGAAAATGAACAGATTACAGCTACATACAAAACGTAGATGAATCATTGAACAAAAGAAACCAAACATGAAAGAATTGTATGATTCCATTTTAGTTCAAAAGAGGCAAAACTAATCTGTGGGTTGGTAGTCATGACAGTGATTGCCTTTGAGGAAGAGCAAGAGGAGTAGTGATTGGGAGGAGGCATGCAGGGAACTTCTGGGTGTATGAAATGTCTGTTTCTTACCCAGGGTGCTCACATGGGTGTGTATGTGTTCACTTGTGATAATTCATTTAGATATATATACTTATGGTTTGCACAATTTTTGTGTATGTGTTACATTTCAGTAAAAAGTTTAAAATAAAAATACTGCACTGAGACATCATTTTCACCTCTCAGTGGGAAAGATCAAAACATTTGATAACACATTCTTGGCAAGGGAACTTCCTGCTGTTGGGAGCTGTGTTATAAGGATCTGTCTAGAAGATGAAGCTTTGACATAACAACCCTGCTTCCAGGGATTTATACTAAAGATATTCTTGCTGATATACAGGTTTAGTAATTGTAATGTAATATCAAGAGATTGGAAACAACCAAACTTTCATGAATTTGTAAGCAGTTGTAATATAGCCATATAATGGGGTGCTATGCAGTTATAAAATTTGTAAAATACACTGTGTAATGATATAAAAAGATCTCTTAAGTTAAAATAGTGTGTTCTGCAATTGCAAGTAATACATAAAATATGCTACACTATTTGTGTAAAAAGAGGCAGAGGGAAGACTTTGTATTTGTTTGACTGTACATGAAACATCTTTGAAAAGATATTAACTACAATATTCCTTTCCTGTGCGGAAGGAGGATTGGATGGTTGGAGATGGGTGTGGGGGACTTTCTCTGCATTCTCTTGTAATTCTGCATTTTGAACCATATATTACCTATTATATTAAAATACTATTTGAACTCTTTGGAAATTTAATAATCAGATTTTCCTTTCCTCTTCAGACATGGCAAATATGTATGTCTTACTTCGTGCTGTGTCCACTGGTTTACCTCATATGATTCAGGAGCTGCAAAATCATATCCATGATGAGGGCCTTAGAGCAACCAGTAACCTTACTCAGGAAAATGTGAGTTATATAAGGAGTTGGGATATTTTTCTCTTAATCAGAATATCATGGAGTTTTTCTTCTGACTTTACTATTTAAAAAAATTTTTTTTAATATTTATTCGTTTTTGGGAGACAGAGTGCAAGCAGGGGAGGGGCAGAGAGAGAGGGAGACACAGAATCTGAAGCAGGCTCCAGGCTCTGAGCTGTCAGCACAGAGCCTGACACGGGGCTCCAACCCACGAAGCATGGGATCATGACCTGGTCTGAAGTCGGACACTTAACCTACTGAGCTACCCGGGCACCCCCTGACTTCAATATGTCAGAAACAACAACAGAAAAGTCTTGCCATGATAACAAATGAAACGTCTTTATAAAATGTTTATATAGTTTGTTGTCAGCATTTTGGAATTACTATATTATTAGAAAGTCATTGAATGAAATAGACTTCTTATTTAAACTGATATGTTCATTTAGCAATTGTTAATTAACTTCTCACAGAAAACTGTTTGCTGTTTGTAAATAACTGTGTTTCTATGTAACTGGTTAATAGTTATAGTGGTAATGGTATTCATCAATGGTAGTATAGGCAAATTACAACTTGCTTTATGTTCTTTTTTTTTTTTTGTCTTTATATATGTCCTGAATTTGATAGTCCAAGAAGCAAATTTAAATTAAAACAATCTTCCCTAAATATATGCTTGCTACCCAGAATATCCAGCAGTGATCCTTATGCCCTTAATACCCATCTTCCTGAAGAGTTCTTTGTCACTCAGATGACTTTATACCATAAGGTGTCTGTCCTCTCAATGTGTGTTCTTATCATGAAATCTTGTTGGATTGCCTTCTTTGTTATTACTAGTGATGGCTTGACAAATTAGATAGACATGACATGAAATGTTATTTCTTTCTCTTCTTGAAATAGCTTTTAGCTCTTCATTTGCAGTAATCTCTATGTGGATATCATTCTTCAGGAGCATTTATTAAATGCTCATCACTTCAGTGATTTTACGTCTTGCCACAGTAATGGTTTTACCACACTACTAGTTTTCCATTTTTGTAAAACCATTAGTTTATATTATTTAGCTTCATTACTCTATATTTTTTAGATTTGGGGTGTTGAATGATATTGGGCAAAGAGGCAGAATTTGGTGTCAAGGACAAGGGGGTGGAAGTATAAGAGAATACATTTGTAGTAGACCCAGGTAATTTTAGCTGACATAAATAGTTCCCTCCATTAAGATCAAAAACTCATTTTTGCACTGCTAGATACTTCTTCCTTGTGAGATGTAGGGATTGTACTACTTAGTTCAGGGGTCTAGGTTTTCACAGATTTTGGCTTTTTAACTCTCCTTTCCCTCTCAGCCTTCAGTAGCTTTGAAGGCAGTTTTTGTTTATGTAATCTTCTATGAAAGTGATAGGCCTGGTGGTTCAGAGGCTGTATCTTGTTACCCTTAAGATATGGTATTCCAACACAGAAGTGTTTTCAGTGGGTTTTTCTGGCAGAAGAACTACAGTCCTGCATTTCAGTGGTGTTGAATGACAAGCTAATTTCAATATCAAAGTTTAGATTTTTAAAGCCATCCTAGTTAAAAACCTTTTTGAGGGCCTATGTGTATATAACATTAATTTGCTAAGGGAAAACTTTACACATAATTAAACAATTCTTTAGTAAGACTAATTTTATCCTTCTTAAAATGTGATTATGTACTTTGTATTTCATATTTGTAGATGCCAACACTATTTGTGGAGTCAGTTTTGGAAGTACATGGTAAATTTGTTCAGCTAATCAACACTGTTTTAAATGGTGATCAGCACTTTATGAGTGCATTGGATAAGGTAACTTTTTAATCTGTATATAACACATATATCTATAATTCTATTTAATCACTATTCTTTAAGCAATTTCAGAATTAGGGCTTCTCATTGATTTATGTATATGACTTCTAATCTAGACAAAGTCAAAATTGAAATATAACCTTTTTTTCTTTTCCTTTCTTTTTTAATTTTTTAATTTATTTTTTGAGAGAGAAAGAACAAGCAGGGGAGGGGGGTGGGAACAGAGGGTCCAAAGCGGATTCTGCACTGACAGGTGACAGTAATGAGCCCGATGCAGAGCTTGAACTCATGGACTGTGAGATCATGACCTGAGCCAAAGTAAGATGTTCAACCAACTGAGCCACCCAAGCGCCCCAAAATAAAACTTTTGATTTATAACTGAGTAGTTAAATCAAATGCTTGAATTATATGGGAATTGAATTTCCCATGAGTATTATATAGGGGAACTTTTTTTTTTTTTACAGATAGTTTATTGTCAGGTTGGTTTCCATATAACACCAGTGCTCATCCCCACAAGTGCCCTCCTCCCTGCCCATCTCCCCCCTCCCCTTCCCACACCCATCAGTCCTCAGTTTGTTCTCAGCATTCAAGAGTCTCTCATGGTTTGCCTCTCTCCCTCTCCCCCACTATTTTTCCCCTTCTTCTCCCATATAGGGGACATTTTTAAAAAACCAGTATCTTCAAAAAAAATGCATGTGTAGTTTTAATATATTTTAATAGTGATTTTTCCTTTAAATATAATACTTAGGCTACTGAAATACTTGAAATGATAATATTTGAAAGAGAAGATAAATATGTTTTACACACTTTCGGGTTTTGGTATACTTTAAAAGAAATTTGCTTACATGGCTATTAAAAGATTTTTTTAAAAGTAGTCTTATATTATCTGTGTTCAGATACTAGTAATGAGTTACAGAGAATATTTTCAGTAGAAATAGTATATATAATTTTTATGTAATTATTATGAGGGATACAGTCAGAGAAATTTACCCTGCATTTAAATATGAAAACAGGAACACTACCATCAGAATGCCGTGTTTTGTGTGAAGCAATAATTTTTGGATTTACAGATTACAGCATACTCTGTTGAACCAAGTGCACTTTTCCCCTATTACTAGGGACTAATTATTGGTCTGTTTTCATATTTAGGCCCTTACATCAGTTGTAAATTACAGAGAACCCAAGTCTGTTTGCAAAGCACCTGAACTGGTAAGTTTGATGATTGGTTAAAAGTAATCTTATGGAAAATCAGTATTAGAAAAAGAAAACTGAGGAGAACATCAAACTAATTTGCTTTTGTAGTCTCTTGCAGAAAAATAGATAAAATTAAATTATTAAAAATAAAAATGATTATTTACATTGTATATAATTTGGCATTTATTTAGGGAATGCAATTGGCCATATACTAAAGCCTTTTTTTAAGGAATAACTGAAGGAGAAAATATTCCATTTCACAATGTTTGGGGTTTAAAGTATGTCTGCTTTGAAATAATTTGCATTACTTCTCCTAGGGATTTTATTTTACCTGAAATCTAAAAAGAACTGATGGTAAAATTGTGATAGCCCTTACTGCAAAAGACTTATTTAATGTCATAAATTATAGAGCCTCTCAAAACTCATGTAGGTGTTCTTTTGAAACTTACTTGTATCAATGCTTTATTGGTTGCTACATGTTGATTAGAGCTTATTTCTAGGTTGTTGTTGTTGTTGTTGTTGTTGACCTATATTTTAAGTTTCCTGGTGCATGTTCAGGTTTTTTAAAGTATAAGCTTTAGGATGCCAGAGACCCTGTCCATTGATCTTATTTTGTATTGTTGCCACCTTGCCTCCTTTGAGGCATGATATGTACAGAAGGGCCCTTTCTAAAATTTACTGTCAATTTCTACTTCAGCTTGCCAAGTACTGTGACAACTTACTAAAGAAGTCAGCAAAGGGGATGACTGAGAATGAAGTAGAAGACAAACTCACGAGCTTCATCACTGTTTTCAAGTATATCGATGATAAGGATGTTTTTCAAAAGGTAAGTTGTAACTAGAGAAGTTTTATTTGTGCTTTAGTCAGCTTTGATTTAGTTTTGAACTTTTAAATCATCAGAAAGGAAGTAATCTTTAAAAAAATTTTTTTAATATAGTTCTACGCAAGAATGCTGGCGAAGCGTTTAATTCACGGGTTATCTATGTCTATGGATTCTGAAGAAGCCATGATCAATAAATTAAAGGTAATTTAAGCCTGTGATCTGATAATGTCCTAGAAATTATTCCACTAACACATAAATATATTCATTTGCAGCATTATATGTAGTAATGAGATCTTTCATCAATAGGTGATTCGTTAAAATATAGAATGTATATTTGTGTGGTGGGATATGCAAATTCTTTATTGAAAGGACAAAATCCCTCTCTGTATATTGATCTAGAATCATCCACAAGATATGAACAGTATTAACTTTACAAAAGACTTGTATTACTTATAAATGAATACACTGAAATTATTCCATTAAGTACAAGTTTTGGAGTACAGTTGAATTTCATTTTTTCTTTATAAATATTTCTACATCATTTTAGCTTAAAGACTGATGAGATAAGTAGTAGCTGTTTCTTATTTAGCTTGAGTTATGCAGTAGTTGATCATTTTCCTATATAGTAGACATGGAATATAATCCGTGGTCCTTTTTAAATATATCAAAAACTTTTTTTAATTTTAATATTGATGTTAACACAAAGCATTTTGTATCCCAAGATTAGAGATCCAAATTTTCTGACCTGGTGATGACAGAGTTTTAAATAATTTCAAAGAAGTAGATTTCAAAAGATGGTATTAAAAATATGCCTAAGTACCCTCCTTTTTAAATTGACTGCTGGCTCAAATATTCCTAGTCATCTTTCATGTGTTTTTGATACTGTATGTAAACCTTAAAAGGTATCTTACATACAGTGGACATTTTGTAGTGTTGAAATAGGATATTTGGATTTATAGAACTTTTTGTTTTAAACGGAAATTTATTGTTTCATAAGTATGTGTTCTCATTCTGCATTTAAACAGAAAAAAATTTTTGAAAGGTTGTTTTGAATAGCTGCTTTAGATTATGAATAATATAGGCCTTTGGTGTAAATATAAAAGCAGGACCTTTAACTTATCACATTCTTTTAATAATTAATGTGGTTTTTTATTTTTATTTTTAAAAACTTTTTCTTTTACAGCAAGCCTGTGGTTATGAGTTTACCAGCAAGCTTCATCGGATGTATACAGATATGAGTGTCAGTGCTGATCTGAACAATAAGTTCAACAATTTTATCAAAAATCAAGATACAGTAATAGATTTGGGAATTAGTTTTCAAATATATGTTCTACAGGTAATGAATATGTGTCCCATTGTGTATATTTACTAACCATTGAAAAACTCTGATACAACGCATTAATAATGGATGCCTGATTACATTTCTTTTAGTCAGTGGATGCTATCTTCTCAAGTTACATGTTATTTTGATTTGGAGTGAAATATGTCATGATAGAAATATAGATGGGTTTTATCAGCATTTTAAGGAAAGTATAAAAAAAGTGCCTTAGTTGCTTAAATTATTTTACAAGTATGTATTTTTAAGTTAGATATTTATCTGCTTAACTTTTTTCCTTGTAGGCTGGTGCATGGCCTCTTACTCAGGCTCCTTCATCTACATTTGCAATTCCCCAGGAATTGGAAAAAAGTGTACAGATGGTAAGTTTGCAGGAAATATGTTAGAAGACCAAAGAAATTTTGATAATTGTCTTCATGTTAATATTTAAATATTTTTCCAAAGTCTTAAGGTCTCATGAGATATAAAAGTATATTCACATAAATTATAGTTAGTCTGCCTTGTAGGAAGATTGTAAATTATTGTTGTTCCTAATATTAAAACTAAAATGCTAAGGCAGTGCTTGGGTCACCCAATCAGTTAAGCACTACGTTGGCTAAATGCTAAAGGGGTGCCAGGTTGGCTAAGTCATACTCTTGATTTTGGCTTAGGTCATGATCCCAAGATTCATGAGATCGAGCCCCACATCAGGCTCTGCACTAACAGTACTAGCCTGATTGGGATTCTCTCTCTCCATCTCTTTCTGCCCCTCACCTTCTCACTCTCTCTTTCTCTCTCTCTCAAGATAAATAAACTTAAAAAAAAAAAAAAACTAAAATGCTAAGTGTGTTATACAGTTCTATGTCAAGTGTGTCTCTTATTTTTATTAAATCTGTTATCTACTCCTAAGCAGTTTTAGTTACAGACATTTTGATATTAGAAGACTGTTTAGAATACAGTACTTAAAACAATCATTTTCTAATTTTTCATTCAGTCTTGGAGCCATTTTTTGTCTCCATATTTATCCCCTGAGATAGTTATTTTTATTTCTGGACTGTGATTTAGATAAATATATGGAATGTGAAATAATCTAGAAAAAATGCTTTAAAGTGCAACTGTAAATTAAACTCTTACAGTGCTTACCAAAAAGCTTTTAAAGAGACTGTAGAAACTGTATCTTTACAGCTTTATTAAGCTATAATTCGTATAATATATGTCTTAGCCTGTTCAGGCTGCTCTAACAAAAGACCACAGGCTGGGTGGCTTATAAACAACAGAAGTTTATTTCTCACAATTCTGGAGTCTGGAAACCCAAGAACAGGGTGCCGGCATGGCTGGAAGAGGGCCGTGTTCACGTCATATATTTCTTGTGTCCTCACATTGTAGAAGGGACTAAGGAGCTCTGTGGGGTCTCTCTTCTATTAGCACTAATCCTGTTCCTGAGGGTTCCACATGTAGGATCCAAGCAGGTCCCAAAGGCCTTACCTCCTAATAACCATCACATTGGGCATAAGGATTTTAGCGTAGGAATTTGGGAGGGACACAAATGTTCAAACCATAGTATGATACAATTCACTGATTTAACATATACAATTTCAGTGGTTTTTTAGTATATTCACAGTTGTGCAACCATCACACAATCAACTTTAGAACATTTTTATTACCGCAAAATTACCCCTCCAAAACCCCCTACCCATCAGTAGTCATTCCTCATTTTCCCTTAACTCCCTTCCCCACTCCCCTCATCCCTAGGCAGTCTTCTTTCTTTCTCTATAGATTTGCCTATTCTGGACATCTCATAGAGAGTCATATCATTTGTGACTGACTTCATTCAGCATAATGTCAAGGTTCATCCCATGTTCTAGCATATATCAGTAGTTAATTACTTTTTATTGTCAAGTAACATTCTCTTGTATGGATGTACCACGTTTTATGTGTCCATTCATCAGTCGATGGATGTTTGAGTGGTTTCTACCTTTTTTAGTATATGAATAATGCTGCTGTGAACATTTGTGTACTAGATTTTTAGTGGACATGTTTTCATTTCTCTTGAAACTGACCCTTCTTGATTTACTAACTCACCAAAAGAGGCTTCTTATTTCTTCACTGGATGGAAGTTTGGGTCACATATTTTCTAGAGAAATCTTCATTATTGTTTTTAGTCCCTTATTTGAACAGTAACTTGAGGTTGTGAACCAGTGAGTTATGTATACATTATGAAGTTTAAAATGAAAATGGTATTTCATTACACTATTCCCTGGTGATATATGCAGTGGATATTTTGAGTTATTTTTTAAGTAAGAATTTTTTTGTTTCTTTCAAAATAAGGATTATAAATAAAATAGCACAGTACAGGCTTTGCAATCAGAGTTTCTAATTTCATATGCCTATTCTGCCATTTACTATGCTCTGTGACTTTGGGCATATAGCTTTCTAATATTTAACTGATAAAGAGGACTATCTCAGCGTGCTGGTACGAAGATAAAATGAGATAATAGTGTAAAGCATTTAGCCTCGTGTATAGTAGGTACTCAGTAAATGGTAGCTAATATAGAAGAAGTAACAGTTATAGTAGTAGTCGTAATAGCAGAGTTAGAGTAGTGCAACCAGCCAGGTAGATTTCAAGATACTAGGCATAAGGTGGGGTTTCAAAATAGGAGTCTAGCATAAGGACTTCTTGCATCTTCTTTAGAAAAGCATGATGGCACAACCATCTTAGAAAATGTATGAAGAAAAGCATTCATTTGGGTGGGCAGAGTGTGAGCCCAGGTTATTATGAATTTTGCAAAAAGGATAGATGCAAGCAGGAATAGGGTTTGGGTAGATAGGTAAGGTATTTTGATGTATTTGTCATCAGGCAAGTGGAAGAAAACTGACCCCTCACCTTTGACATTATTAAAACTTCCTTCTTAAGAACCTGAGTTTTTGAATCTCAATTAAGCAAAGAATAGGTGCTCCCAGAAATAGTTTCCTTCTAACTTTATGTTTTTTTCTCTCCCCTTGAAATAAGTATGTTCCAATATTAGGTTTTTAAACCCTTAGGCCTTTATTAATGTAGAGCCTTCATCAGCTTTCACTTTCCTCACTTACAAAAAGCAGGGTTTTCTATTTATGATTCCAAGAATATTGTCCTTTCCATTTGGATTTTCTATAATTACCAGTAGAGGGAGTTTGTCCTTGTATTTTTTCCTAGTAAATCCAAGGGTTCAGTTACATAGGAATGAAAATCCATCTGTGTACTTAATAGTGTACATTTTCACATGTAAATTAATTCATCTTGCCTTAGTGATCTTTTATGTGTTTTACATCTTAAAATATGTAGTTATTTTATAAAAAATTTACTTTGATTTTACACATATGAATGTTAAAACTATGGAAATTAAGCTTTAATTAAAAGCAATTTATTTTTGCATATTAGACCATTAAATCTTGTTATATTTCTTTTGTACCTGGTCCACAGATCTGAATAATACTGAAGAAATATAAAGTCAACTGTTTTTTGTTTTGTTTTTTTTTTACATTTATTTATTTTTGAGAGACAGAGTGAGACAGAGCATGAGCAGGGGAAGGGCAGAGAGAGAAGGAGACACAGAATCTGAAGCAGGCTCCAGGCCCTGAGCAAGGGTTCATCACAGAGCCTGACACGGGGCTCGAACCCACAAACTGTGAGATCATGACCTGAGCCGAAGTCGGACATTTAACCGACTGAGCCACCCAGGCGCCCCTAAAGTAATTTATATTAATACAGCTCTCAATTAAAAGTGAAATGGAATTGTTCATTTTTAAAGCCCCTTGAGTTTTAATTAATTTTCTCAAATGGTATTTAAAAGATGTTGTCCTAGTCTATTATTTATTTTAAAATGAGTTTAGGAAAGATACATTTTTTACTAATAAACTATGGTAACATAATTGTTTAATGATATAATTAAGCAAAGTTTTATAGCTTTTCTCTATGAATGCCAGATGAATTTTTAATGTTTCCATTTGGAACTGAAACTTTTTGTTCTTAACAAGTTATAGAAATGAAAATCTTTATAATCAGACTTTAAACTTATGGTAAAGGAATATTTTCTGTTGGCATATCTATATCTTTGTCAATAAAACTTTACTGATAGATCTAGTTGCTAGGAGTATAAAGAGGCAAAACATGTGCCTTCGGAGCTTGGAATATACATCTTGAAGCTACTTTTGCACTTAAATAATTTATAAAGAGCGTTTTAAAGTTTGGTTTTCTTGATTTCATGTTTTAGTTTGCATTTGTCCACACATTCTTGTAAATTATTCATCGTAAAATTATGAGTTATATAATAGTAATTGAATTTATTGACATCCCTGGAGATTATTAATTTGTCAAAGCCCACTTTGATGAAATCATTTTGACTTTTCTCTTTGTCTGGATTAGAATCAGGCAGAAAAACTTAAGTATTTTAGGTGCCAGTCATTTCCTGTTTATCATGCCATTGGAGTGAAAGTGAGCGCAACAAGTTTTAGCTTCCAGGACTAGGCAAACTTGGAATAAGCTGCTGAAAGAAGTCACTGATCCTCTTGGCTGACAGCTATAAACTTGTGCTGTAAGGAGTGAAAATAGCGCAGCTGGCAGCTCAAACATTGCTGATTGCTTTATTGAAACTTTGTTTTGGGAGTAAGAAAGATTGAATTTGATATACAAATAAAAGTTTTAGGTGTAAATATTACATGTGGCACATCATGCTGAAAGTGTGTCCACAATTCTGAATTGTGACATGATGCATTTATTTTTTTAGTGTTATAATGAAATTGAGGGTTTGTTTTGTTTTGTTTACATTTCAGTATCATTTTCTCACTATAAATTATGTACTGGCTCTTTAAAAGATATTTTTTGGATTGATGTCCTACAATTACACTTTCAATTCAAGGAAGATGGTTTTTAATTTTCAAAGCAACAATAATGTTAAATTTTTTACAATGATATCAACAAAAGAAGATACAAAGACGAGCACCTTGAAGCTTTGTCTGTATTAGTTTTGACTGGATATGAAGTTAAATTGTAGATGTCACCTCATAGGTAACCACAGAAATACTAATCAACCTGTCACTTCAGCAGGGGTATATATGCTGGCAAATAGGAGATTAGAAATGAAGGTATGATTTCCATTTTCATACTGGAAATATATGATGATGTTTTTGGTCAGTAATTTGGAAAGTCCAAATTGCTATCATTCCAAACTGATGACTGAATCACTGACTATGTCATTTCTGAATTTATACAAATAGTTAAATGTACAGGGCTGTGGTTTAGTGGAGAGAATCCTGGACAAGTTGTAAGTGAAAAGAGCTGGACTAATAATTGTAAGATCTTGGTCAGGGACTTGCCATGGATATGTTTTCTCATCTATTGAATAAGTAAGTATACCAGATGGGTTATAATGTCTTTTCTAACATATACTTTTATTTTTTTACTTTTTAAATGTAGTAATAATGAGGTAGTTATGTTAATAGTACCTGAAATTAACTTGATTTTCTTTCTTTTTTACAGTTTGAATTATTTTACAGCCAGCATTTCAGTGGAAGGAAACTTACATGGTTACATTATCTTTGTACAGGTAAAATGCATTTAATTATATTTAGTGTAGTGAAATTTACCTGATACAATTATGTTAATAATTTAGAAAGAGATTTCTTACAGCCTAATGATAGTGTTTTTTCCCCCTAATGATGGTTTTTAACCTCTTTTCCTCTATCTGCCTTGCTGGTTATCATTAAAGCAACTAATAATGCAGTTCAAGTGCAGCACTTTTTAATAGTATAATTATAAAATTGTTGCTTATATTATTACTGCTTATTAAGAAAATGTCTGAATTTTATAATGGTTTCCTACTTTTTTTTTTTTTAATGTTTATTTATTTTTGAGAGACAGAGCATGAGCAGGGAAGGGGCAGAGAGAGAGGGAGACACAGGATCTGAAGCAGGCTCCAGACTCTGAGCTGTCAGCACAGAGTCCGATGCGGGACTCGAACCCACAGACCACAAGATCATGACCTGAGCCAAAGTCAGACGCTTAACCGAGTGAGCCACCCAGGCGCCCCTAGTTTCCTACATTTCTATAACAAAACACTTTATATAGACATTAGAAATTCTGTTTAGAAACCAAGACTTGACAGATCAGATACTCTTAAAAACACTGTTTTCTCTAAATATGTCAGATGTCCTCAGAAATTTCATTAACCATGATAGCATTATAAGGAGATTAACCATTTGATTTTTCTTTGTGCTGCTATAGTGAACTGCAGAAGTAAATACTTTTTCCAGAGTGTCCCAATTAATTTCCAATAGTTTCTAATTTTAGAAAAGTTTAATCATAATCTGGTCCTTTGCTTCTTTCTGGAATAGTGGGGTCCACTAATTTGACAGTGAATGATTATAGACTGTGTGCAGTTGCTCTGAGTTGCCTAAAGAGGTTAGCCAAAGTAAACGCTCACAGTTTTCTCTACTTTGCTAAAGGCATCTCTGGTAAGAGTTTATCTGTTAGGAATGGGATAAGAAAATTTGATCTATCAGGTGCCATAACCTTTATTAGGAAATTCTATTCACTCACGTAAAAAAAATTTCTCTTACTATTTATTTGACTCATTTATTTTTGGAATATGATGGCTCAATGTTAGTAATACATATTAGTACATAATTAGTACACAATAATACATACTTAGACAAATTTATCTTTATTGAACAAGTTGGGCATTTAAATTTTTTCAGCAGTTTATGAAATAATGAATTTTTAAAAAAATTTTTAATGTTTATTTATTTTTGAGAGAGAGAGGCTCAGTGTGAGTGGGGTAGGGGCAGAGGGAGACACAGTATCCAAAGGAGGCTCCATGCTCTGAGCTGTCAGCACAGAGCCCCACATGGGGCTAGACTCACAAACCATGAAATCATGACCTGAGCCAAAGTCAGATGCTTAACTGACTGAGGCACCCAGGTGCCCAGAAATGGTATTTTTAATAAGTGGTCAGTTTTTACTTGACCTTTAATTTTACATGTGTTATGAATTTCTTCTATTATCATTTAGTAAATAGAATTGGTTTTAAGAGAAAAAATGACTCAACCAGTGTTTTAGATAACTAAAAGAACTAATTTATCTAAATGTACTTGAATTTAATTTATTTTTACTTCCCTTGAATGTCTGTCTGGGGAGTTTAAACTCTCTTTGTTTTTCTCGTTACCTCAGCAGTAATCAACCTTCTAAGGTATTTTAATGAGGGACACACTTTTTTGGTGTTCGGCAATTTAATTGTATATAGAAATAAAGAAAAAACTACGTATATAGTCTTTGCTGTTGGAATTTGGCTTGAAAACTGTTACTGATGACACCACGATAGGAAAGAAAACAACATTCTTTTTCTGTTTTTGAACTGTGCAGAGTTCCCAAGCTGGTCCAGGATAACCAGAGTTTTGGAGCTCATTTGTTTGTTTTTGTCTTGTTTCAGTGTTGTGTATATTGTCTTAATTAGAGTCAAAGAATTTATTCCTTTGGAAAAGATACGTTAACCTTGTAAATTCATTTCTTGTTTTGAATCACTGAAAGCACTGAAAATAACTGATCTATCAGTGAAACCACTCAGTAAAATTTTATTTTGGTTCTCGTTTATTCATTTACTCACTAACAAAAAGTTCTCAAACACCATCCGTCTTTAAGATGCTTGTTTTGGAATTCCTACATTTGTCGTAAGGCTCCAGGGCTCCTTTAAAATATTGGCTCTCATTCTAGACTCAGAGTTCTGTTTCTTGAGAACCCCTGTCACTCATACTTTTACATATAATCACAATTATTCTTCTGTAATCCATTTACACATTTCCAGGTACTATTTGTATTGTAATCCAAGAGTCTTTACAAATGATTGGAGATAGGGTGTAAAGTGATATTTGGAGGAATTTAGAATCAGGAGATGTCGAGTTATTAGCCTATTAAGTCTGTAACCTTGAGCAAATTATTTAACTTCTCTGAACCTATTCCCTCATCTTTCTCTTTGTAAAATTCATTTATAACTCTGAGAACATCTTTGTTCCAAGTACTTCTGTATGCCAAGTACAGATAAAATACATAGCCTCAGCCCTCAAAAAGCTCACATCTAATGGGAGGACAGACAAGTAAATTATTATGGTAAATGTTTTGAACGTTGTAATAGGTGAGCCCAGGGTTTTAGTATTCCATAGAGTGGTGGTAGCAAGTAGCTCCTGGTGAAGAGAAGCTTCTGAGTAAATAACATCTAAACTTGGTTTTCAAGGATGAATAGGACTTAGCCAAAATAGGCAAAGAAGAATGTTGAGAGCATATTACCAACAGAGGTAAGAATTTTAAAGAAGTAAGCAATCTATGCTATCAGATGGGACAGATACTGAATGAGAGAAAGATAAAAATTCCATTGGATTTATGAGTAGGACACTGGATAGAATTATTCTGAGAGAATAACTGGATGAAGAAATGACAAATACAGAACCTGGAAACTTACGCTGTGTGGATATAAATAAGTTTTATTTATGGCACATCAAGATTTTGTAGGAATCTCAAGTTGGCTGCTGAGAGAGAAGTTGAGAAATAAATTCAAGGGAAATAATACTTTGTTGGTTAATACATAGCTATGCAGGTAATACATAAATAATGTATATAATTAGATTACATTAGTAGTCAATGAACAGTAAATCATGTAAGTGTTGATTATTTGCCAAAATGTAATCTGGCAAATTCCCAAAATTGAAGTCCCACCATATTGCATGTACCTTAAAAGGTAAGGATTCTGTCTGTCCTTGGCTAAATTCTCTTTCATTATTGATTTCAAGTACTTTAACAGTTAAAATTGTGAGGGGTTTCAATATTATCTAATGTCCAGTCCATATTTAGATTTCCCTGGTTGTCCTCAAAGTGACTTTAATGCCTGTTTTATTGTAATCAGAGGTCACTGATTGCCACTTCCTTTCCCTGCCACCTCTTACCTTAACCTCCCTCTTGACATACTTTCTTGAAAAGACCAGTGTTTTAGATTTGTCACATTATTTACTTGTGATGCATTTGATTTGTGTTCTATTCCCTGTACTTTCTGTACATTAATATTCCTGAAATTAGGTTCAAAAGTTTGATTCTATTCAAATTATATTGTCAGCAAGAATACTTCGTAGACAGTTCTATATATTTCATAATGCACCTGAAGTCATGTAATATCAGGTTGTCCCACTATTAGAGACTCTAAAGTTGGCCACCTGGTTAAGGTGGTGACCACCAGATATCTTCATTGTAAAGATACTCTTTTCCCTTTTCAATTAACAGGTGATCTGAGGGGAGATACCTAGGTCCCATATGAATACCCTTTTTCAGGAACAGCTCTATCTAATGATTTTGGCACCCACGGATGATCATGGCTTGAATCAGTTATTTCATTATTGATTGCAAATTGGCGATACTCTATCACTCATTCAGCATTTAGTAGCTGACATTCTTCTGTAAAGGAAAGCTTTCCCTTAGAGACTAAGGAGCCGACAGGTAATGGGAGAGTAACTTGGATGAAACTATTAAGAGAGTTCTGCCCACTCATTACTTCCTGTAGTTGTAAATACGTCTTGAATTGTGGTTGGCTTATTTTTTCAAAGTATGTGTGTATCAGAATGTTTTCTTCTAATTTGGAGTTTCATCAAGTTTGCCAACCTGTTCTGCAGGTTAAATGACCTCTTTTGTCATTTTCCATTTCTGTTTATATGGCAGTAATTTAATGAATCGTCCAAATTTGGGGTTTCCTACCCTGCCCCATGTATTCCCTCTATCCTTTTCCCAGTTTTTGCAGCTGTGAGCTAATGAGAGAGTGGTGCTGAAAAGGTGTCAAGAGGCCCATGTGCCCTAATGCTAACAATTAAAAGATAGCAGGGAATAAAAGTATTACAAAACTTGTTTGCCGCTTTTTTAGTGTTGCAGAATGACCTTAATAATAAATGCTTTGTTGACCATTTATTTACATTGACCCTTTACTTGCATTGTCTCCTAATGCTCCTTGGGTTCTGGTGATGATGAAAGACTGCTTGGCGTGGCAGGGGACACATTCTGTGTCCAGACCCATGGCAGCATGTTATAGCATCCGCAAAGTGTTGCCTGAGGTCCCACTTCATCATCCATGTGCTTGATGCATTACTTCATACTGGTTGCTGACATATGATTAAAGCAGTCATTACACAAATGATATACAGTTTATGTGATCTCTTGCCTCTCACTACATTTTCCAAACTTAAATGTTAAGATGAGAGTCCTTAAAGTATTCTTGGTACTAATTGTTGGTAGGACACTCCTAATGTTAACTTTTTACTTAAATTCTATTAAGCCCCCCTTTCATGAAAATTCAGAGATAAGGCAATTTTTTATCTTTAGGTGTTTCTAAATAATTATCTGAATAACAGTTGTTCTGAAATAGGTTGAGGCATAATAAAAATTAGAATTGGCATCTGCATGATCATAAGTGGCAGAATTTACTTGATATCCTTTAAATTTTTAAATTACATAATAAATAAGCACAAAATCTTGATAAGAGTTCCTAATTACCACTCACAGGGAGAATGTAGCCTCTGGGGTAAGTTCATGTGAAATACAGCCTCCCTGAGTATAATGTAGAACTTTTTTAAACCAGATCTTGTAATGGTTTAGTTTATAATCCATTAATAGTCGAATAATTCAGGGTGTATATGTGAGAGACAGACAGAAATACAGTCACTAAACTTACACAGCTTTATGTTTTATTTCCTAAAGGAAATAAACTTGCATTAACTTTTGACGTGTATAGAGTGCATACATGTTTGTCATACAGTTTATTATAAGCTTTTCAGTGTACTGCCTCCCTGGGATGTTGCAGAACTGCAGTGAGCCGAAACCCACTGTATCCTTTATAGCTTTCCAGGGTAGTGTGGTATCTAGAACTTGTTTATTCTGTCAACTGTTTCATCAAAATCTATCTTTTTGTCTCTCCTCCTACTTGTTTGCCCCTAGAAAGTTACTGGGGAAAAAAAATGTTTGCTTATGAGACAAAATAGCATTGTTAAATTTTGGCAGAAACTACAGGTTAGGGCCACAGGAGAAGCATCTCCTGTGTGCTTGTAGATCTCCCTGCGTCCTTGAACCTTGCCAGATAGACAGCACGTGAGGAAGTTATTGGTAGCAAGTTGTCATTCTCTCCCTTTGTCTCTTTCTCCTCCTACCCTGATCTCCTCTTACTGTTTTCTTCATGCCTAAGTCTTAGCTTTCCTATTAACTTGTAAAGAAATTGTTACCTACTGGTAGAGGTATTTTAGTTTAATTGTGATTTATACTGCATATTCAAAACTAACAGCCCTCCCTCCCCACCCCACTCCCCAACAAACAAAATGATTGCATTGCTAGCAAGAATGGCTTTATAACAATTTAATAAGTCATTGGCTCATTCTTTCAGGAGAAAGTAGCTGAAATAAACAATTAATACTCAAGTAATTTTGAAATGTTTCTTTGATCAGTTTATTGTTACAATTTTGTTTTAATTGTAGGTGAAGTTAAAATGAACTATTTGGGCAAACCATATGTAGCTATGGTTACAACATACCAAATGGCAGTTCTTCTTGCCTTTAACAACAGTGAAACTGTCAGCTATAAAGAGCTTCAAGACAGCACTCAGATGAATGAAAAGGAACTGACAAAAACAATCAAATCATTACTTGATGTGAAGATGATTAACCATGATTCAGAAAAGGTATGGGGAATTTAAGCATTGTAAACATTACAGCTTTTTCATGAGATGTTTGCAGTTTTTCAAGTAAGGTTATAATTGGCAATGCCCTTTGCACTTTGGAAAGCACTTGAGTCAGGAACCAGCTACATTGCTGCAGGCTCCTAACAGCTGTGAGCTTATGCAGTCACAGAGAAGTTGGTGACTGTGTGCCCTTTACAGTTTGATTTTATTTGTACTATACTGTGACAGTTTACTGAACATTGTGAAAGAATTGCCACTGGGTGGATTCCGGTTAATTGAGGTTAAAAACAGTAACATATCATAAATCTTTCTGGGTTTTTTTTTTCCATGTGTTTAATAGATATTTAATTACGAATTCTGTAATAGGAAATGACTACCTATTGATATTTATTTGTGTGCATATTTAGCTTGAGTAACCATCCCAAATGCTCTCCCTCTCCTGTTCCTTCATTCCAGGACTTAACTAATAACCACCATATATTTGTAATTAATCTGTCACAAGAAGGGCAAGCCAGTAATCTACTTCTTTTCTTTATAGCTTTTTTTCCCTAATAACTAGTTTTTGTTGTTACAGTATATCCTGGTTATTTAAATAGTTTTTTAAAAAGCCACAGATGTGAGTTAAATCTCATATTTCAAATTGTGCCTATAAGAAAAAATTCTCATAAATTACATTTCATTTTTGTTTTGGTGAAGTTAATAGCCTACAGTTTCCTTTGTCAGTTCATTTAATCTGATGATATTTTGTAGCCTATGATTGAGCAGCTTTAAATACCATGTATTCTGAAATTCAAATAAAGCTTTTCTTAATACTGAGAAATGATTAATTTTTCTGACTTTAGAATCTTAATAAAATATTAAATTCTTAAGATTTTAATTAAGGCAATTATTTACAATTTAAGCATGAATTTAGACTTAAAATTTAAGTATAAATTTATAAGCTAAATTAAGTGTTTAAGAAGTTGTATAGTTTTCTAAACTGTGTTATTTTTGCTGCCCAGGAATGTACAAAATACATATAGATTGCTTGTTTGCACATTAAATTTTCCTTAGCAGAGCTTCCTAGGTTATTGTTGAGGATGGTTCATTTGCCAAGTGCTCTTTGATCCTGCTGTTGGAGACTCACTGTATGATATTAGTAGCTTATCTTAAGCCTGGTAGAGAAGTTGTGATTGTGAAAATTGGCTTGACAACTTTCATTTGAGAAAAGGCCACTTGTTTCTGGAAGAGTGAATAAAACATGAATTCAAGGGTAAACTCATCAGAACCACGCCAGGGGCACGTGTGCCATGGGGAACCACTTGTTTCTGTAGCCCAGTTATTTATCATCTGTGTATTGTTACTTCAGCACTCTAAAAGACCATTGGTTGCTCACTTTTTCAAAATGGGGTGACAGAAATTTTGAGCCAAGTAGTTCATAAAAATTAAAATGTTAAATTCTGTTTAAGCCAGTGAGCTTTGACTCCTTAGCCAATGGTAATATGCATAATAGTTGGGCCATAAAATAGCTTATTTCTAAATCTAAACCAATTAAAATTCAAATGTAAAATTAGAAAAGAATTGTTTTTTGCTTTCTTTGTTTGACATAACACAGTTACTTTTCTTTAAAATAATCTTTCTAATGTAAAATGATGAGAGTTTAGTTTTCTTTGATTGGTTATTTCATTTTTAAGGCGTATTATTTGTAGCAACTTTTATTTAATGATTTTAATTTTGATAAATGTAAATGAATTATCTTAAATTGTAGGAAGACATTGATGCAGAATCTTCATTTTCATTAAATATGAACTTTAGCAGTAAAAGAACAAAATTTAAAATTACTACATCAATGCAGAAAGACACTCCACAGGTAAGTGCTTTTTAATGTCATTTGTCTTGGAAATATTTAAGCATTGGACTTCACAAGTGTAACTGAGAGAATGCAAAATTTTGCACATCAAAAGTAATAATGTGATGCATTTTTTTCTGGTTTATTCTTTGCATTCACTAACCTTACAGACCTACTGCCAGTATCACAGCTTATTAAAATAGTAATATAATGAGTATCTAAGGGAAAATGTAGAGTATTATCACATTTGCTTTTAGACAAAATGTGGAGTGTTGCTTTGCATTCTTGACAAAAATTCCTACCTTGACTAGTAATATAATCTCTCATATTTTCATTTGTAAAATAAGGAAAAACTATAACATATTTGTTTCAAAGAGAAGTTGTTGAAAATGTTTCTCAAAATTCCACATGCGTGGGGTACCCGGCTGACTCAGTCAGAAGAGCATGCGAATTTGAGCCTCACATTGGGTGTAGAGATTATAAAAAAATTTCATGGGTAGATGATCTTGCTGATACTCAAATTGTGATCTGGTAGGTCTGGAGTGGGTGGGGTTCAGACTACCAGATGAGCCAGTTGCTCAGAGGGGAGCATCTGCTGTTGATTCTTTTAACTCCATAATGATTATTGCTTTGTTCTGGGATAGCCTGTTAATGTCACTTAAATTACTTGATTGCCTCTTCTGTGCCACCCTATCCTTGGGCATGGGGCAGGATGTAAAGTTAGATATGATATCAGGCGCTCTCCAAAAACTTATTCCCCCACAGGAGACAGATGTCAATTATGACTAAATTTGGATGTAAAAATATTTGAGATCCCATTTTTCTCTAGATTATAGAATAATAATTTATAATATGTGGATTGTATTTTGTCTTTTTTTTTTTTACAAATAGTTTATTGTCAAATTAGTTTCTACATAACACTCAGTGCTCATCCCCAAAGTGCCCTCCTCCATGCCCATCCCCCCCTCCCCCCCACATCCATCAGTCCTCAGTTTTTGTCAGCATTCAAGAGTCTCTCATGGTTTGCCTCTCTCCCTTTCCCCCACCATTTCCGCCCTTCTTCTCCCCCTTGGTCCTCCGTCAAGTTCCTCCTAATCCTCCTATACGTGCAAACATATGGTATTTGTCCTTCTCTGCCTGACTTATTTCGCTTTTAAAAACTGTTATGAAAGCTCTATTAATGTGGCATTGCCTGCTATGATGCCTCACTCTACTGTGTTTCCTTGAGCTGCATGGAGATAGGCCCTTTGTGGCCCATCCTGCTTGAGCCAAATAGAACTTTTCACAGCTCTTCTCCTTGAGGCCTGATGCAGTATGCACAGTTACTAAAGCATCTAAAAGCGTATATGTGGTATATAATATGTCTTCCCCGACAGGACAGAAATTTGAAAATTATTGAAAATTTGAAAATCATTTAAATTCTACTTACTGCTTATTCACATTAAATACATTTTACAGTATTAATTTTTTTAATAACCTTCTAACTTTAACCCAAGAAGTTATAAGTAACTCACTGTAGATATTCCTTTGGTTAACCGTTACGTGATAATGGGCATGTGTTAACTGTATAATTGGATGCTCAGTATTGATTAGAAACTTATTTAAACTCACTGATAAAATGAATTACGAAAGGTTCGTTGACTAGTGTCTCGTTTGCTGTGAAACAGGAAATGGAGCAGACTAGAAGTGCTGTAGATGAGGACCGGAAAATGTATCTCCAAGCTGCTATAGTTCGTATCATGAAAGCACGAAAAGTACTTCGGCATAATGCCCTTATTCAAGAGGTAAAAGGCAGGGAAGTCCTCAAGGCTTTTTGGGGTAAAGGGTATTATCAACGTATGGATTAGGAATGTTTCTTCGTAGAGATGATACAGAAATAATATGATTCCCAAATAGCATAAAGAAATGCCTCATTACTTAATGAGAACAGTACTCACTTTGAATTTCAGTATTATGTTCAAACTTCATTTGGCTTAGATTTAGAGAGCTAAGTTCACCAATTGAAGGAAATTGACTGTATCGAGTATTCATTCATTCTATAAATATAGGAGTGTTTACCCTGTGATAGAGTGCTATGCTCATCGTTAGGGAGCAGTGCAGAGCAACACAAGATGTGGTTCCTGGCCATCTACTAGGGAAGAAATACATGATTGAACTCATATGCAAGCAAAATATATAAAATTCCATTAGCATGCTCTGAGAAAGAGATACAGTATTGAAACTTCAGTGAGGGTGAAGTGGAAGGAAGCTGGAGCATATGTATGTGTATTTGGGTAGATTAATGTGTAATTTAATCTTGTTACGTGTGAAAATTACTGGATTTTGCCGCATCTATTTTCTGCATTTTGATTCCTTCACAACATAAACATTAGGCTTTTTCCTTATTTTGCATAAAAATTACACTTTGTCATCAAAATTGATCTAAATTGTTCCTTCTCTCCTTGTGTAATGCCCTCTTAGTTAAAACAATTTAATACTATTCATGGCATTCACGTGCTTGATGTATCATATCTATGCATTTAGGATGATTTTATTCAGTTTAATTAATATAATTTCATAATTACTTTAAGCATACTTTTCCCATATGGGTTAGGTCTGTTGGATGGCAACAGACATGCCTCCTCAATATTGGAGGCACGTCATAGCTGATGAGTTACAAGTAATGATTTATAACTGACTGATTAGCAGTAGTTTGACACATCAATGTCTCTCTCACACAGGTGATTAGCCAGTCAAGAGCTAGGTTTAATCCTAGTATCAGCATGATTAAGAAGTGTATTGAAGTTCTGATAGACAAACAGTACATCGAACGCAGCCAAGCGTCAGCAGATGAATACAGTTACGTAGCGTGATGTCGCTCTCCTCTAGTGTGGGTGTGAGAAGATCATTGCCATCACCATTTGGTGTGTTCCTGTGGGAAAAAGCAGGCCTGTGCCTCCATAATTTGGTCATTTGGCAGCCCCTGTTTTTCTGCTGTTTACAACATCACCAGTGCCACGTCATGAGCGTCAGAGAAAATGCCTAGAGATATTTCAAGCTCATGTCATTATGACATTTCTTAAAACTTTATTAAAAGAATGAGTGAAGTATTGCTGAAATGTGGAAATTTGGTTGGGTACCATGCTTTTTCTCCCCTTCACGTTTGCAGTTGATGTGTTTTTTTTTTTTTAATGTATCTTAAAGGACATAAAATAAAAAACTTAAATATTGTAATATGACAGATAACCTAATAATTGTATCTACATTAAAATGACAAACATGATATTGCTGCTTGTCAAATAAAAAAAATAAAGAAATAGAATGCCTTTTTTATGTGGATGGAGCATCACACATAATATAAATATAAATGTTCATGAGTCATCAAAGCAGCTAATGAAGCTTTAGTTGCATTTTGATCTGAATGGTTTAATTCACTTTTACTCCTACTTAAGTCCTACATGAAAAATGTCTAGATTATTGTTCTTGAATGCATAAAAATGCATTCAACATAAAGAATGTTTTATTTTTATGGATTGGAACTACATTGGATATGAGCATTTTGAATGTGGAGGGTTTAATTCTATCAAGAGTTTCTGGTGATATGCTTACACCGCAGAAATAAAGGATGAGGAGATTATGTGATGGCCTCAAATCTGGATAGAAAGCGTTTCTCATTCAAAAGTTGTCTTCTGTTTTCATAATACATTAATTCTAACACAAATAACCCAGCTCTCTTACCTCCCCTTCTCCCTTTCTCTGAGTTATAGGAGATCCTGTGATACCAGTGTATTCCTTCCATTCTCTTACCTGTGTGTTACCCTTACACCCCTATACATTTTGATACTAGAGTCACACTCATAAGTCACAGGTGTGCTTACCAATGTGTAACCTAAATACCTTTTTCTTGTCTGTATGGTGCATTATACCAGATGCCACTTATATAGAGACATGAAATTCCACTATTTTGTTTATTATATATATTAACAGCAGTATTAGACTACTCGGGTCTATCTATCCCACCGCCACTACAACACACATACCTAAGGTTTTCTAAGCTGGAATATTTTACAGCCTGTCCCATGTGAATCATTTTACTTACAGTACTTCAGTTTGTATCTCTGACAGATAAGATCTTTTTTAAAAACAACAAAAACACAACCTTAATGACATTATTACACCTAACAAACAATAGTTACTTAATATCATCTAATATGTGGTCTTGTTGCAAAAATGGCTTCTACAGTTGGTTTGTTCGATTGCACTTTTTCTGACTCATGTCTCTTTAAGGGTTAAAAATATCTACTGAGCTTATTATAATAACTTACTTAACAAACTGTATTTCTCATTTTACCTTTCTTCCTAGAGAGGAAGTAATGGCAAACCAAATAATATTGTACACTCACTGTCAAAAACAAACCTTTGTTTTGATAACTTGTTGATAAAGTTTCCAAATTGATTCCGTTTTTCTTAAATATTTATAAATGTTAAATTAAGTCTTGGTATCTAAATTGTCAAGAAAATATATTATATTGAAAAATGGACAAAATACTTGTGCTGAGGTCAACAGAAATGACTGCCAAGAGTTTTCTTCACATCTTTTTCTCATTTTACCAGAAAGGAAAACATTAAAGATACACTCGCACATGAGGAGGAAGAGGCCAGATACACTTAACCAAGTCACCATCCAAGAGGGAGCAGCGTTTAGAATGAATTCTAGCACACACCGTCTGCTGAGGAGAATAAAGGGAAGGCTGCAGTCTTGTCAAGTTAGGTCAGGCGCTTGAAATCATTCCTGCTGACAAGCCTAGCACACTGCCCAGAGCCCTCACCTGACAGGCCCTGTGTACGGTACCTAGTGCTTGTAGGCAGAGAAGGTCAAAGCTACAAAAGGGGAAGAGGAAGTAGATTCTCTGTGCTTTATCTTGCAAAACAAAAATAATATGAGCAAAACTTTCAGAAGCTCTTAAAATATTATTATTACTACTGAGATAGTTAACATGTGTGAGTCAGTGATACATTTTCCAGCCAGACAGCATGCTGCTTTTGTTCACGTTCTGTCGTTCTCTTTAAAACCAGATTATTTTAATTGCTGCTTGTAGTTTTATTTTAGGGGTTTAGTCCAAGATTTTATGACAGTTTGCTTTAATATAAACAAAGAGATACTCTGGGGTTTGTGCTTTCCTTTATAACTTACTACCTTTATAGGATTTTATAACCTGTATATGCTACAATGCTATAAAGTTTCTGTTAATTTTTTTAACCTTTATTGAGTACAGACTGTGACTGGTGCTTCCTCGTATGTTATTTTGTTTGACCTTCAGATAATCCTGTTAACCAAGCAATGTTCCTCTCTCATAGAAGAGGAAACCAAATGAAGACTTTTCCAGGAGTCATTGCCAGGGACTGCAGAACCTGAATTTAAATCCTAGTCAAAATTGTGGATGTAATAAATACAGTCTCTCTCTCTCTCCATACATATATATATATAAAATAGCCTGTAAGAAGTAACTTCATTTTATACATAAAGAATAGTTTTTCCCGACTTTTCAGAATAAAATTTTGTTTCTAGGTGATTTGTGAGAATATCATATTTCAGTTTCTTAAAATACTTATTTAAGATGTAAATATACATGGTTAAACAACTGTGCTCATAATTGATTCATGGCAAAAGGTACTTGTGAATTTAATATTTTATATTCACATGTCCAGCTATAGGACATTTATTTCCAGTGTACATATATCCCTAATATACATATACTTAATGCAAACCTATTCAGGTTCAGTTAAAATTTTTTGAGTTTTGAGTAGCGATGGATAATTTATGGAGCTCTTAATCTTTGGTTCCTAGTACACATTCTTAGTTGAGCAAGGTCAGAGTAAAGATGTGAACTCTTAAAATACTAGTCCTAAGGGCAGTTGTACATAGACTGTAGCTAAATGAGTAGAAAAATATGGAGAGGGCTACTGGTTGAAGTTCATGAAGCATATCTAAAGCTGAAGCAGTTAATTTAGGCAATCCTTATGTGAGACATACAACCTCAAGGGCTACAATTTATTAAAGGTAGGATTTACTCATGGGGAGAAGTCATTTTCATGTGTAGTGGCTATACAGTACAGGAAATTCTAAGGAATTTTCCTTCCCCAGCTCTCCATCCATAGCTCAGCGAATTCACCTTTTGTCATGTAACATTTATTGGTGCCAGGGTATTATGTGGATACAATTGCTGCAAGATAAGCAAGAAAGATACAGTCTGTGCCAACATGGAGCTTTTTAGACTTGTAACAATCAGTCATAAATACGCCATTTCAGGTGTGCATGCTTGTGAAGGAAAGCGCTGGGTACTTTGAGGAGGGTTGCATAAGAGGTTAGAAGGGCAGAAAATGAGAGTGGGAGAGCATATTCTAACCATTAACAGCAAAAGTCCTGAAGTGAAGCAGCAGCCACAGCCTAAGAACCAAAAACATCTCTATGAATGAATGATGTGGATTTTACACAGGAGAGTTACATTTGCAAAAAAAAAAAAATTGTGTGTGTGTGTGTGTGTATATATATATATATATGTATTCTTAGGTGGTAGGTGTATGAATACTCATTTCATTATGCTTTATAGTGTAGATATTTCAATTTTTTCTTTGGTGTTTGCGAACTATTCCAAAATCCTGTTTGCAAATTTCAGTGGAAAATGGGTAACCTGCATTAGTGTGAAGAACAGACCCTATAGAGCTGATGGCAAATAGTGTGGATACGTAGGAGACTGTGGTGAGGTGAACAGTTATGGTGGTGACAGTGGCCATCTCCAGAGTGATAAAGTAGAATGGACACATCTTAATGATGGGTTGGGATAGGGTGAATGAGGGAGGAAAGGGATGAATCAAATGTGGGACATCGATTCAGTGAGTTAGGAGAACTTTGGAAGAGGAAGAGGCTGGAGGAGGAACATAATAAGCTTGGTTATAATACCTTGCCGCTGATGTGCTTTTGAGATAACCGAATGTAACAGGCCTTTGGCTACATAGGTCTGAAACTGCTGCGTAGGTGCTCCTCTCCTGAATCTTAGAAACCATTCCCTAGAGGCTTTTTGATCCATTCTCATTTCCTTGACTCTTTTGCCATGAATTAACAATGTCCAGGCTAAATGTGATCAGAGAGAAACAATTACCACATGAATGTATTACATACATTTTGAATCACAAAAATAAGAATGGAAAAGCATGAGAATAGTCGTTTATACACGTTCTAGGATTGGTCTTTCTGTACTTCAGTGGGTGGTCTTTGTTATCCCATTTTGAGGCAAGTACACATTGAAGTAGAGAAATTGAGCCAAAAGTTAATCTGCCATATGATTATTTCTTATATTCACAAATCTTTGTCAGCTACTGGTTACACACTGCCCTTGAGGGACAGATCTATCTGTGTTGCATTCTGACAAGCTCAACAAACAAGCTTCAGCAAAAAAAGAAGGAACCTTTGGGAACCAACTTGTGGAAAAGAACATGAAGGACTTTTCCATTCTTTGTTTATCATGGTTTTCTTCTTCATTGTTACTAGCTTACTATTTATAGTTACAGTAGTTGAAGAATTATAGCTTGTGTTGAAGTTAGCAGCCCTGGGAGCAGTAAAGTTAAGGGATTGGCCAAATTGATATTTTCCTTGGAAGAACTTTCTAGGACCTTTATAAACAGCCTGGGTTAGGTATCAATTAGCTCGTGAGACTACCCCTAGCACAGTGCTCAGTCATCTGCCGGGAGTACCAACTTCTTAAAGTGGGTGTATTTTTTTACCTATTAGCTTGTCTCCTAGGGAAGAACGTACAGACATAGTCAGCAATGATTTACTTTTAGTAGGAGTTAACTGATTTAGCGTACATTGGACCTAACATTTGGCCCAAAGAGGCCACTGATGCAGCAGAAGTACTCTGACATTAAAGGAAAAGCTGAACGCTGAATAGAAAAAAAACAAGCTGTTTTAGTTGAACACCAAACATGTTGAAGTGACGAAATTCAAATCAATGCTGTGCTATGAGGTAAACATCTGAGATGCCTTGTTTAGATTGCACATTTTAAAATAATTATTTCTAAATTTTGACAGCCAAGGTGAAGATCTTGAGCCACGTGGTAAATTGGAAATCTGTGGTATAAGAAGTCAGTCTCCGCTTGTAAGTTATGTGCTTGCCCTGGCTTCGAACTGCCTTGTCCAGTGTTCCACAAAATAAGGAAGAGTGGCACTCAGAGT